ATATATATATATATATATATATGATTTATAGTAATTTATATCCTGAAAATAATAACTATACATTTAAGAATATTTTCAGGTATCTGTGTAATAAATTTGTAAATTTGTAAATTCAATGAATTTGCTATGGCATAAATACTATCAAGTTATCAAATTATAAAATAATTGTAATATAGAATTATACTATACAATAGTAAAACAATATATTGCATGCAAATTAAAATATATTACATTTTATAAGATTACTAAATAATATATATAAAACAGATAAAATAGATGAATAAAATATCATAAACTATATCATATTAATAAAATGTGAGTATAATGTTTTTTTTTATTGTATCTAAAATATTTTATTATGACTTCATTTTCTTGTAGTTTTATTATTTGTTGTGCATATTTTCAAGCACCAATTTTACAATTACAATTATAATATATTTATATATATGTTTCTTTTCTCATATTGAAAATGTATCGCAGATATATGATTATTTATAGTTTATCTTATGAGAATACAAATATATGCACATTTTTTTTTATATTATATATTTATATTTATATAATTTTTATTGATGTGAGATCATTACAGTGAAAATTTAATATTAATAAATATTGATATCAAATATCATTTATTTCTGTATCACTCTTATTAAGAATCGACATCTAAGTCATAAAATAATTTTTTTTAATTTTGTTACATGGATCGATAGGGTCCTTGCATTTTTAAAAATTGAATTACTAAGGAAGGTCCTCCTGCAACTATTTCTGGTGGTATTTGAGAAAGTGGACAATTTTCAATTGACATAATACTGAGATTTGTGCATAGAGCTAATTCAAATGGTAAATTGTGTAAATTAGCATTATCATTTACATAAAGTGAATCTAAATTTTCTAATGTACCAATTTCTTCAGGTAAATAGTTTAGATTATTTTCTCCAACACTTAAATAAGTTAAATTTGTTAAATGTCCAATTGCTCTTGGTAAAGAAGTTACCTGATTCGATTGTAAAATTAACTTCTGCAAGTCTCTTAGAAAACCAATTTCATTTGGTAAAGATTCAATTTTATTCTCTTCAAGATCTAACACTCTGAGTTTACGTAAATTTGCTATGCTGGCAGGAATACGTTTTAATAAATTATTAGATAATATTAAAACTTCTAAATTTTGAAGGCATTGAATATCATCAGGAATTTTTGTAAGTTGATTTGTACCCAAATTTAATTCAACCATATTGATCCATGTACCAATATCTAATGGTAAAGCAGTTAATTGATTTTCTTTCATATTTAACTTTGCAAGATTCTTTGCTCTAGAAAAAATACCATATGGTATTTTATCTATTTTGTTATGTTCAAGATTGATAGAATAAACATTTGTAAACTGAGCTGGTCCTCCTGATGGATATGCAGTAAAAGCATTCCGAGATAATGTGATTGTTGTTAAATCAGAGAGACTTGCAAGTAATCCATCTGGTAATTGAGATACTTGATTTCCTTCTACACTAAATTCATCCATTAATTTACAATTTGCTAAGGACTTTGGAATATTAGTTAATCTATTATATCTAAGTCCTAATCTTGTTAATGAGATTAAATTTCCAATTGTATCTGGAATATCCAAAAGCTCATTATGTTGCAAATCAAGTGTAGATAACTGGACACAATTTCCAATTTCTTCAGGCAAATGCTCCAAATGATTATGAGAAACATCAAATGTTATTAAATTGATTAATTTGCCAATACCAGCTGGAAGTTCTCTGATTTTATTTTCTCTCAAACTTAGCATTGTCAAATTTGTCAAATTGCGTATATTATCACTTACATATCGAACTCGATTAAAGCGTAAAAACAAAGTTGTGAGATTCGTCAACTTGTACACGACATCAGGTATTTCACTCAACTTATTATGCCTTAAATCAAGAACTCTTAAAGATTTCAAATTCTCTAATGTATTTGGTAAACTTGTCAGAGAATTTTCACTCAAAGCTAATGTTTCCAAATTTCCAAGGCAACCGATTTCTGGCGGTAATGTTACGAGTTTATTACCGTATAGATAAAACTCGACTAAGTGCGTCAAATCCCGTACCGTACTTGGTAAATGAGTAATGTTAGATTTACTTAAATCCAGTCGCTCTAAGCATTCTTCTCTACATCTCGTAAATTCTTTAGAAACATCTAAATCTGCTTGTATCGGTTTGCCTTTTTTTGTAGTTGGTTTCGGTTTATTTGATTCGGGATGTTTGACAGTTACTGTTTTTTTGGTATCAGGTCCTGCTATGGATGCAGATGATAATTTTTTTTCTTTTGTGTGGTCTTTATTATCCCGTAGAACGTCTACATCTTCAGGCATGTCGCCGGCTGTACAGGTGGTTAAACCACAGCCTTCAAGATATTCAGGAATATCTTGTTCCTTCATGTAAAAAGTCGGAAGATTGTCTTCGAGGTCCTCACGGTCCCTCTTTACTTCGGACAAACACACTGTTGAAATGTTACCCACACCTATCCAATATTTGTTCGACTTTTTCATAACCTAATCACTATCGTAATTACGATTATTTTTTGAGTATATTTTTGTATTTTTACGACATTATTTTAAAGATTTCGTATTGTAGAAGTATTGACATATCGATGTCTTCCACTGCAAGTAGCGCAAACTCGAAACTGTCTGAAGACTAAACCTACGAATATTCAATACTGTTCCAAAAATCAACCAAATATTATCTTTGAATACATAATATATTATTATATATATATATTTTTTCCAAATGTATATATGTTTTCGATTATATTTATAATATATAAATATATATATATTAAATTTTAAAGTTATTTCAATATCAAGCTTTAAATATTGAAATTTAAAATTTATAGTATTAAAATATAGTTTAAATCATATTATGATGCATTTTTGAACGCAATATTTCAAGTAACGTTTAAATAACTTTAATTCAAATATATATTTTGAAAGAATTCTATAAGTTGTAGTTCTATAACATAAATTCTAAATAATTATCATAATGTTTGAACTTGAATCATTGCGAAAAATATTAGATCCATCTATAAAAATAGAAAAAATTGTTATCATACGTGACTCGAATTTTTCCACAATTCAAAAATACGCCGTATGTTATTTTATATAAAGAAGTATGTTATACATTTATAATTTTTTAAAAAAAATTTTATTTTGTTAAACACTCATTTATTATTTATCAGGCTTGTAAATCTATTGATAATTGTTCAAAATTTATCGATGCTGATCACTCAAATCGTAAGTTTTTTATGTAATAATTGTTCATATATTAATTC